AGCAGGTCTTCAGTTGGAAAATAAAACTGATTACAAAGCCATCCAGAGTGAATACAACATTCTTACATAACACAGGTACCACTCAAGAAGTTTGTAGAAAAAAAGCTGAACAAGCATATGTTGTATTTAATGAAACATTTCTGCAATAGGCCAAAAAGCCAACCTGGGGGTCAGAGGAAAGTAGTCTTTAAAAGTACAAGCTAAACCTATGTTTTCACTAACACAAAAAAAATCCCATGAGTTAATGCTGTGCAAAGTCACAGAGCTGCACAACATCAGGTAGCAGACTGATCTTCGCTGTCCATTTCCAGGTCTCTTATCATTGCCTTGACCAAGGAATCCTATTTACATCAGTTTTGCAGTCTATACAGACTAGTCTATACTTTTAACCTAGTTCTATAGACTGGAACAATTATTGTATACAACCGTTAAGTAGTATCCCTCATTTTCTCAGTACAAATCACTGTGAGCCTGACTACTCTTTCTTTTATGAAAGGAATTATTTTTGCTTCCAAAAATACCTGGAAATAAAAGTTTGCATTTCATTTCAGCAGTGGGGTTTAAAAAAACCCACAAAAACAATATAAAAATATTGACAAAAATAGGGAGAGATGTTTTACATTGAACCCTGGTAAAGTTTAAATAAGAATGTGTCTCACAATCGATTTAGGTTCAGCACTCTCTTCTACCCTACAGATTTTCACTTCCTTGACATTATAGCTTTGCCTAGATGTTGGCTAGAAAGACCTGTCGCCTCCATTCTGAGGCACACTCAAGTGAACCGAGTCAGTCGGTAGTCAATTCAGGCCAATACAACCAGATGAAAAGTTAAACTGGAAAAACATCACATCAGTACCAGTTACCTGTGAAGATAAAAGGGTAAGCAGCAGGGTGAATTCCTCTGACTGCTACCTCGACAGCGAGAGACCTTTAACAATTACAAAGTAAAGTATTAGTTTTCCAGCTCAATCTTTTCAGGCTGCTACTGCTTTAAAATTAAAGGTCCTCATTCAAGAAGCCATATGCCTGGCCCTCTACATCACTCAAGGAAAATCCTAACTAAATTTTAGAAAATGAACACATTTGTTACAGTTTGTCACTTTACGTGATGGTTGATGAAACCATATCAGAGTCAACAGAGAAGGAAAATTATGAGGATTACACGAAAACAAGTCACAGCTCTGGTATTAAATGAAGAAAATGTCTGCTCAGGAGGAAAATCAGTGCACCATAAAATATGTTCTTTATTAAGTACAGCTAAAACAAGACAAAGCTAACAGAGTACGTCATCTAGGGACAAGAACAAACAAAACTTAAAACAATTTATATACAGAAACAGCATTAGTCCGTTAACACTAACACTTGCTTCCAGATGCTATATAAATTCCCAAGCCACTTAAGGAAGGAATTCAGTATGCAGAATGATGCTGCATTTCCCCACAAGGTGATTTCTCCCTCATCCTTAACAATGTATGCGTGTACTCTTCACATAATCAAGAGTTACAAAGCAGCCTGAAAGAACATCTAACACCAATCAAATAAGGCAGATAGAGGGATATAAGGAAATAGAGCAATAATAAAACTGGCAACTCTAATTTTTTTCAATTAAGTGTTGTAAGCCAACTTTATTTCACAAAATATTAATTGGAGTGATGTTCAATAACATACTAAAATAATAGAAGTAGCTCTGCAAATTGACCATCTTTGAAGGTTTCAACTGCAGACATGTTTTCAGCAATACAGCTACAACAGCAGCAGTTGTGCAACACTGGGCTCTGAAATTTAAGAGCA